GTTTTACCAGTGGACCAGTGGGGCCCGGGGGGCAGGAACCGTGGACCAGGGTAACCCGTGGAAACCGTGTACCAGTGCACCGTGGACCTGGGCCAGTGGACCCGTGAAACCCGTTTAACCAGTGGACCCGGGGGACCAGTGGGCCCGTGGGGGCCCGTGAAACCCGTGGACCAGTGGCCAGGGGGACAGTGAACCCGTTTAAAAAAAATTACCCCGTGTACCGTGGCCAGTGGCCCCGTTTGGGCCCGTGGGACCAAATGTACAGTGTACCCGTGGACCCCGTGTACCAGTGTTCCCGTTACCCGTGGCCAGTTTTACCAAATGGGGGCCAGTGTACCCGTGGACAGGTGTTCCAGTATACCGGTAGAAACCCGTGGGCCAGTGGACCAGGGGGACCAGTGGGCCCGTGGGCCCGGCCGAAGATACTCTTCGAATTTTTTACAGAGAGTTAAGAAGTAAATATTGGGAAAAAAAAATTTTTAAATTTAATTTACACTATCTTTGTGTGGAAATATTTTTTTTAAAAAAAATAATGTTTGGATTTATTCTGTAAAGAATTTTTTTAAGTAGGCTTTTAAATTTTTTGGGTGGGTTTTTTATCTTTGTTTTTTAGAATTTTTAGTTGCGTTATTTTACTTAATGAAGGTGCCAAAAAAATGAGCGAAGATATTTAATTAATTACCCCAGATGCATGAAAATCTGATAAAGATTCGAAGGAACGAAATCCTTAAAAAGGGTCTTTCCCAAACGGTGACTCGTCCCCTTTCTCGGAGTTTGTACAAAAATTTTGGGTTTTCCCTTGGGGGAGTTTTTCAGGGTAGCGAAGCTTCAGCGTGTTCTCTTCAGTGTGGGTCGTTTAGGTACCGTCTTCACAGTACCCTGGGCAGGAGCGCACCGCATCCCCGGTTTAAAAATGGTGTCTTCAGATTGTTTTTGGGACTAGGGTGTGAGGCCAAACTCAAAATCGCCCCCTGGCCTGGTAGGCAACGCTTCCCCCCTCACACACTGAGTATCCGTGGTTCAATTTCCCGGGCCGGGGTGAAAACATTGGAGTGGTTTTTCCTTTCACCCGCTGGGCCCTGTCACATAAGAAAATAACAAAAAAGGGAAAACTGCAAAGGTCTACTGAACCCCCTTCGGGCGGGGGCCGGGCCCCCCCCCCGGATTTTGCCCAATGACCCCCCCCCCCGGATAAGCCCCTTGGGCCCACCGTCGGGGCCCCTCCACTCAAGGGAAAGGAACACGGACCCGACCCCGGGAGCAAAGCTAGTCAGGTCCAAAATCCACCCACCACACCCACTCATGTATTTTTCTAACTTATTTTTAAAAAAATAGCAACGTTTTAGCCCGAATTTAAAGGGATGGGAGTTTGTTCCAAACATTCCCAAAAAAAATCATTACCCCAAAAAGTGTTTCCTATTTCCTTCCGAAAAGAATTTTTCTAACTCGAAAACCCCTTGTGCGTATCCCGGTTTGGTGGAAAATTTTTAGCTTTTCTATTTACTCTCCTTTTTTTATTCCGTTTTCCAAATTTTTTCACCTCGATTAAAATTCCCCCCCCAAATTTACGCCTTTCAAGAGAGTGCAGATTCAGGGGGCCCCAGTCTATCCTCTAGGGAAGATTTCTGATATATGGGATCTTTTTTCATCCCCCTCTTTTACGTTTTCCCGGCATTTTTTTCCATTCTGTAATACGGTGACCAGAAATGGCGCATAGTCTAAAAGAGGCCTAACCCAAGGGGTATATAGGTTGAAGAACAACCTGGGGGACTTCTAATTTTTTTATATTCTAGGTATGAAGCCAAAAAATTCTGGTTTTGCTTTATTGCGAAACCCTAATTTCGCTGTTGTTTGGTTTTAGATTTTTGTAACCAGAACTCCTAAAAACTTTTTTTCAAACAGTTATTAAGATCTACATTATTTGTTTTTAAAGTTTTGGGTTTGGGTTTTTTTACCTTTTCCAAAATTTAGAAAATTTGCATTTTTTCAATATTAAACTGCATTTTGCCACTTCTCCGGGCCAAATTTCCTCAGTCTATTCCCAAAAATCCTGGGGGTGCTTAGTGTCCTCATTAGAATGGGAAATTTGGAAAGGACCTTTTGGTGTCATCAGCAAATTTGCTTAGGGCGAAATTTTTTCCCCATTATGTTGTTTATGTAAAAAATTTTGAAAAAAACGGGGGCCCAAAAACTACCCCTGAGGAACACCGCTTTTTGACGTTTCCCCCATTCTGATTTCCCCATTTATGCAAAAATCTTGTGCCTATTTGTAGCCATGCCTCTACCCCGGGAAAAAAAATTCTCCTCCTATTCCGTGTGCCTTAATTTTCCTCAACAGCCTCTGGTGTGAACTTTATCGAAAGCCTTACTGAAGTCCATATACCAATAATATATACATTACTATGATCTACCTCCTCAAAACACCTTAGTGAAAAATTTGTAAATTCGTAAAGGGCAGGGAAAACCCCCCTTTGAAAAACCCTTTTGAGATTCTTTAACCAATCTGGGGCCTTTAAAGGGTTTGGCTACAAATTTGCTTCGGCAATTTTTGTTTCCCAAAAAATTTTCCCCCCAATGGAGGTAAGGTTATTGGTAAAATATTTTCGAGACCAAGGACCCTGTCACCTCCTTGAAAAAGGGTTTTAACATTTGCCATTTTCCATTTTATCAGGCACTATGCCAGTTTGTGTGAATGAAAAAAAAAGATTACCAAAAAGATATGCTAAGTTCCTTTTCCTTCCCTTTTAAAACCCCCTTTTGAAAAAGTTAACCCGGCCCCGGGGGATTTGTTAGGTTTTGGGTTTCTCTTTTTGGCTGGGGACCAAAATGTCACTAATTACCCCCAATTGGAAATTTTTTATTTCTTTTTTTCAAATAATCTATTATTTAAAGGAAATTTATGGGCTAGTTTTTTCCGGGGTGAAAATGAGAAAAAGGGGGGTTTTTGAGAATTTCCCCCACATATCCTTTCCGCCCGGATCTGACCAGATTTAAAACTCTTAAGTGGGCCATCTTGCCCCCTAATCTTACTTCTGGTAATGAAAGACCCCTTTTTGGGGTTGTTTTTGGAACCCCTTGAGACCTTAGCCTCATACCCCCTTTTTGTTTTTCATTTTCCCCCTTTCTTTTTTCTCTCTTTAATTTAATATATTTATTTCTTAATTTGCCCACCCCCTTTCTTTTGAAACGCCAAAATAGGCCTTTTTTTTTGCCCAAAGGGTTTGTTTTAATCTATTGTTCCCCTTTTTGGGGTCTTTTTTGTTAGATCAAATTTTTCCCTACTCGGAAAAAAAAAAGTTTTTCTGGGCAGCTAAATATGCTCTGAAAAACGTCAAAATTGGAAACCAAGATCACCTACCTGCCCCATAGTGAGGACACCCCAAATTTTAGCCCCCCTGGCAATTTTTCCCCCCATGAATTTGGCCAAGCGAAAATCTGGAACAGATTTTTTGATTGCAGTTATCTGGGTTTTCCCATGAATATTGAAACAAATTAATTTTGATCACTTTCCCCAATTTTCCTCATTAACCTCAAGATTTTAAATTATTTGAATTTTTGTTGGCAAAACCCAAATCAAGCAGATTGGTTCCCCCTAGTTGGCTCTGTCAAAAACCTGTTCAAAAAAGAATCCTGAACCGAAATCAAGAAAGCACTGCCCCCAAAATTTTCCTGTCAAAATTTTTTCCAAATTTTAATTGCCCTAAAGTTAAAATCTCCCTTTATCACAACTTTTTCTATCTAGATGCCTCGTAATGAACTTAAAATCACTTAAACTTTTCTAAATTTAAAAAATAAACCCCTTTCTAAAAAAAATATGTTTTTTTAACTCTTACCCCTACGCAAACAAAATTCTAAAGTTTTTTTGCCAAAAATGTTTGTAAAAAAAATCGTACGATTGTTTCAATTATGAAACTTTTTTAAAAAATTCATAGACACTGGGAAGTGGGGCCTTTCGTGCCCTGTGTCTTTACTACCTTCCACAGGGAAAGTAATGGGGGGACATGATAAACCCGTTAAAAATAAATATAAATCTTTTTTTTGGTTTCCCGGGGTTTGTACCCAAAATATGGGGAAGCATCACGAATGATAAGGGGGTGTAGCAATGGGGGAAATGTTTAATTTTGGGGAGTTTTAAATAGGGAAAAGGTTTGTTTGTAGTAGAATGGTAAAAAGTTATGGTAATTTTAGTACATAGTATTTCTAGTATAGTGGGGGTAGCAGTGTAACATCCTTAGTAGCGTAAAAAATTTAACCCCTGTTCAAAGAATTACTACCAAATTTTTTAAAGTTTAAACCCCAGCATGATCATCCGGCTTTTCTGAGATGCGCGGGGGGCCTTGGGGTTCAGGGGTCTCATCTCCGTTGAAAATTTCCGCAGCCCCAACTTTCCATGGGGGCCGAGATATTGGGAAAGGCCCGGTCCACAGGTTTTGAACCCAAAGGGGCCCCCTGCCTTTTTACATCGGGCACGGAACAAGACAGGGGCATCTTCGTCAGATCCGTCGCTCGTTTTATGGTAAGTTTAAAAGGAGGGGAAAACCGCTTACAACGTACAGCCTGAAATAAATGTTAGGATGATGTAAAAAGTTAGAAAATTCCCCTGGTTTTCGCTACATAATTAAAAAAAAATATTAAGAAACACTGGGTGTAATAGCCCTTTTGAAATGTTATTACTCTCTTTAAAAATTCGTGAAAATTTTTTTGGTTTGAAAGAAATTTCCCCGTGTTTCTAAATTTTTGATAAGATGTTTTTCCCTTCCCGCATTTAGGGGAAATTTTGGGCAAAGTTTCGATGTAAAACACGGTGTAATACGAAAGTATTACAATATAATACGCAAGTATTACAAATCCTCAGAACTTGTTAGATTGTCCAGTAACAGAACGAACCGTAGACTAATTTTTTTTTATCGTCTCCAATTTGTTGTCTACCTGTGAATTACTCCCCACCATGATACTGACTTTCGTTCATAACCTGCATACACTTGCTGGTGGCTCCTGGTGCAGGCGGAGAAGGCACACGTCAAACTGAACACCAAGAGGCTGTATCAGGCTGACGGATACTCTGTGCAGGAGATCTTGAAGGGCCTCACCTTGTTGTACTCCGCCATCCAGGAGAACGAGGGGGAGAAAGACATGGATGACCAGGCAGAAACAACACTCAACTTCGATGTTTCTAACAAGGTACGTTGGCCCCTTCGCAGGTCAGGCCTCCAGAGAGAATTATTATTGTTAATTTTATTATCATTATTATAGTTATTACTTTATTTAGGGGGATTCGCTTTATGTGTATGGGCGCACCAGACCAGCCTGACTCATGGCCAGGCTCCGATATTAAGACTCTTGAAACTCATGAAAGGTATATCAAAGGCATAAAATGTCACGCAACGCCTAGGGAGGGGGGGATGCAAAGCAATCAGGTGTGATCTAAGGATCTGGAGACAAGTCCAATTCCTCGAATTAAGATCCCTTCCCCTGCTCCTTGTTTCACTATCCACTGCAAGACCTTTTTTCCCTTTATCTGTATATTTTGCTTCTAGCAAGGCTTACACCTCACATTTTATGCCACCAGGAAATACTTTTCGCATATACTATTCTTATATGCACTTCACTATTGAACTTACAAGCTATTAGCTATTAACCGCTAGTTAAAAGGTATATATGTATGTGACATTTGTGGCTGTTGTAGCATGATTGGACATATGTGTGAGGTATCTGATGTGTTATAGCAAGTCTTGACATGTCATAACGTGTTGCTTCGTTCTGCAGATCTCTGAGTTGAAGCACATAAGAACACTAGCCTCAGAGATCACCAGGAGAGGAGCCACGCTCTTTGACCTCCTGTGTCGAGAGGTTGACCTCAGGGTAGGTGTATGTTTGGTTTTCCTTGCTAGGCATAAAACGACTCTTTCTGGTATTATATTTGGTATAAAATTTTTTTTTGTATTGTAACGAGTAGATAATTATAGCAAGATCTAGCAGCCCAAGTACTGACCAACTCTGGTTAATGTAACATCCATGGATATTCGTACCATGTATGATTGGCATTTGTGGCTACCCCTCTCACTGGGGTAGAGAAACTGTCATATAACATCTACTGTTTCCCTAAGTTCACCTCCCATTACAACTTATCCATCAAAGCATAAAATAGCCTCAACATTTTGAGAACATGTACATCTAAACAGAATTCCTGGGAAATACATTACAAAATTTCTGAGTTGACGGACTGATGTTAAAAATGACCAACTCAGCACAAGTCACTGCTCTTATTTACATCTGAATTGCGTACCTATAACATTTCTTTCTCAATACCTGACTCACTGAAGGTTTTTTCCACAACATTTCCACGATAACAGTCCGGTACAAGATGAGGTCCTTGCGCATCCTGACGATACAAGAAAGACGAACTCACGCATACGGTGTTAGAAGTGTGAGAACTAACGATGACATTCAATGTTAATACAGGGGAATTTATTTCACGGAATTTCCCATACAAACTATCACACCAGACGTACGTACTGTGTGTGTTAAGCAAGGGTTAGACCTCAGAGGTACGTACTGTACGTGTTAAGCAAGGGACAGACCTGAGATATTCGCTGCGCTATGCTGTAATCTACATAAGCATATTACGTGAAAACTGAGCATTTTGTAAGGAATAAGGTGTTGTTGTTTCCCATGGCCGATTCTTCGATAATCCATTGGTTATTTGTGTTATATTATTAATTATTTTAGCATATGTTAGTTACTCATACTGCAGTGCTTATGAGAAGCCAATCACCTGCAGGAGGCTTACAGGGCATTACCTGAATTATTAAAGGCAAGTAATTTGGGTGAGGTAAGTAGAACTTAAGTCACAGCAGGTCGCTGAACTGTAGCTCCCTCGATGCCCACTTCTTCACCACTCACAAAAAACTAGACCTGACATTAAATTAATAGTTATATTAAAACCAGCTACTCTGGTAAATTAAAGTTGTGTGGACTGTATATTATTAGACTTGCTGGGTACACAGAATATAATTATACATAAATTATTAGTGTTATTAGAAAGGAAATTCTTAGCAACACTTACCATTTAATTACTCGATCATAATTATTTTATAGAAACACACCCTAACGTTACCTCTACAGCTAGGATTTACGATAGCCAACGCAAAAACTAATGTATTATGGGTAAGCGTCACTTAGCTAAGGTGTGTTGTTGGGAAGGATTCATTGAAGTCCTCTATTTTCTCGTCTTGGTTGCCGAATTGTAAGGGCTTTCCACACTATTTATCCCAATTCTTCAGCAGGAACGTGTCACCAAGTTCTAAATTACGAACTAAGGCCAATATACACCAACTGACCTTCGAGAACGCCTAATTACATTGCATAATTCAGTCCAATGTTCACACATTAAATTCAATATGGCATCTCTCCCCAGCGTCACTCCGCAGCTCTTCCACCCCCCCCCCCACTCGAAATTTCTCGAAATGGTCAAATCAGCCTCATATTCTTTTACACAATTATTGTATTATTCATTTATATGTTCTACCTATAGGAAAATTATGTAAAAAATTTCCCACAGTAATGATCAAGTATAATGGTCACCATAATGACCAATATACTGTGTTATAAACAGCAGAGCAGTGCTGGCTCTCTTTTTTTTGATGATATGAGACTTTCCTTTGTTATAGCTGTAAGAAAAACAATAACAATAACTAACAAAAAAAGGCACAATACCGTGACTTTGTAAATGGTACAAGTCGGACCGAAACGTCGTCGTAAGCTCCTCTCTTCTATGTGCGGGTTATTTGTGTATAATAACAAAATAACAGTGTACTCCCCTGAAATTCCCCGGATAAAAACCAAAACAAACCACCCACATCTATAGACGATCGATCATAAATAGAATATTATTACAATCACCGAACGCTAAACCCGCAAGGGTCATACAGTGCTGTATAAACAGAACAACAAACACAGGATTTAATCCTCTATCTGCTCCCAACACTGTAATTATGTGTACTTGTACCAGAATAAGCTTATTAAAAGTTCAGATACTGTTTTAAATCTTAGGGTTTGCAGTAATTCCTAGATAACTAAACCTTTATCTCATCAGGTCAGCAAAATGGCTGCTAAGTGGAATAATTTGCTTTCTTTGAATATTTCAATATATATATACACTTCAGTCTGTTTTAGGAATTGAAGTAATCCTGATGTCGATGCCCGTAATACCAAGGCATGATAGTGGCTCTTTTGCAATACAAATAATTGTAACCCCTTCACTGTAAACTACCTATTCAAATATACTTCCTAAAATATGTTAACCACATTGTAAACTCGCAAGGAAATAAGGGACTTTGAATTTGAGGTAAATTACATCCTTAGTAATGACCCAGGCGCATTCGATAAATGGCAAACTTGACAGAATTACTACTAGGCATTTCTCCATCCCTGGTGCAGGAGATCCGTACTAGCATCATCAACAGACAGCTGGAACTGACGGAGGTGGAGGCTGGCATCCAGACAGCCATCCACACCTGTGAAGACGAAGGTAAACGTAACCAACAGGCTATAGAAAACGTCGCCTCCGACGAGGCTAACCTCGACGCCAAGATCGACAAGAAGAAAACCGGTCTTGAGCGGGGACAAAAGAGACTTCTGACACTGAAGAAAGTCAGGTGGGTGGAAGTGAGTTTATTTAAGCACAGGTACAGATAATTGCAGTTATTATACATAGTGTAAATTACCTAGGATAACCTAAAAAAGTCAGACAAAAGGACTTATTTTCACCGGGGTCCTTTGAAGTATGTCTTCATGCTTACTTAACCCGGAACTTATTGTGCACTGCTGTACTCTTTTTTGACCACCGCTCACAGGATGGGTACTATATTATAATCATGATTGATTTCTACTGTAACTTACAGGTAGGCTTTCAGTAATAAAATATTACAAGAACCTCAATGGAGATGAGTCACTCTGACTCTTTTGGATATTCTAGGTAATTTACACATACGTTACTTTGTAAGATACTTGTACTGATGTGTGCTTGTAGTGAATGAAAATATTATTATTTGACCAGCCGGGCTGTGGTTTGTACGTCGGTTTACGTGCGGCCAACAATAACAGCCTGGTTGATCAGGCCCTGATCCACCATGAGGCCTGGTCACGGACCGGGACTCCCGGAACCCTCTCCAGGTATACTAATTTCTCTAAGCAGGCACAATGGATACCACCTGGAGCACACCGGACCCCATGTCTGGTTCTTATACTGCCAGGTAGATTACTCCTGCTTGTTATGCTACTCTCCATAAACAAAATCTAAAACTAACAATAAAATGATCAGAATAAGCGAGGAAGATTTATCTTAGGCACAGTTCTGTAGGCAAACATGGACTACAAAATTGGGTAACGATAAAACAAGCAGAGTGAAACAGTTGAACTTAAACCATGTGTGATAAATGGTTTTGAAAACCGACAGCTTGAAGAATTGAGACACTTAGACAACATATGTTTCAGTTCTTCAAGCTGTCGGTTTTCAAAACCATTCATCACATCTGTCAGAACACTTGTCCAATCTTTGGACGAAGACCTACTTACACTAGTGGATGGTACCACTGTGATCCCGCCTCCACCTGCTTCCACTCACCTGACTACAGTATATAAGTCACCTCTCTGACCCTATGTTGTACTTCCTACAAGAGTGATGGACTGAACACAGATTCCAGGCTGAGGGACTGAATACCTGAACTCCTCTCCTTATATCATCCTGCTATGTATTGGACTGAAGCCACTTTGGCGAAACGTTTTTTTCAATAAAGATTCCCACATGTTGTATAAGTGTCTCAATTCTTCAACTTAAACCGTACTTGTAAAATTGCTAACTTCGTCTGCACTGAAGAATTGAATCGAGGAGCTGGGACTCGACCCCTGCAACCTCAACTAGGTGAGTACACTTAACCATTCATCACATTCGTCTGCACTGTCTTGCTTCTAAGTGTGCAAAGACTTAGAACCAACATTAGTATTGCAGGATGGATATAGCCTCACAATACCTACTGTAGGCGTCCTGACATCAGTACATCTACATAGCTATAAAGACCTAGAAAGGTTTGTCTAATTATCCCAAGACAGAACTGTAGCACTGACCTCACTTGTATGTGATACTGTGCAACATACACCACAAGCAGGTAATACGTCTAGCAGTTTTAAGTTATACGTTTTATATTATATGTAATATTACTATCTGTTGAGCATAATAACATAGCATAATAACAATGGAGCCTAGTGGGTATGTTACACTTTCTTGCTTGACTTAGTCGAAGCTAAATTTATTCATCATCAGTGTACGCCTATAGCAACTACGTGGTTAGTTATACTCGGGTGTAAGGTTATAATATTGTCTGTAAATTCATATGTTACTACCTTGAATTTAGATTATCAATAATGCTCCCGTGAGAGGCCTAAGGATGTTAATATTTACAAAATGTAGACATACCTGTTGACATGATATGAAATCCTTGATAAATAACATTTAAACATTGACGTGAGCCAGTATCTATGGACTTCTAATATTTCATTATACCTAACATCCTATATATACTAGACAAAGAATGTGACAAGTAATTAACCTTGCCTGCTTCACCGCTATAGTGAGACTGCACTTAAAACACGCAGATTTTGGCTTGTAAGTTCATTTGGTGTCCCATAGCTCGGTTGCTAGCACACTTGGCTCACACATTGAGGTCCGTGGTTCGATATCCGGTACGGGTGGAAACACTCGGACGTGTTTCTTTAAGGCACTAGCTGTCAGTGTTCACCTAGCAGTAAAATAGGTACCTGGGTGTTAGTCGACTGGTGTGGGTCGCATCCTGAGGACAAAATATGTCACTGATGTCAGCTATGGTCTGTATAAGTTGTATCATGTACTTGTAGAAATAAAGATTATTATTAATAAATGAATGTTTAAAATTTAACTCTCATGTACTGTCAACGATAAATAATGTTTTATTTATATCAAATCTGTTGGTGTTTCGGCCGCGACAAACCCACACGGAGACACTAATATTATAGTTCACTAGAGAGTATTGTATTTAAATAAAAATGGTAAACCCGTAAGGATTACACTGTGTTTACACCAGAGGAAATCATCTAGTATCTGGAGAGAGTTCCGGGGGTCAACGCCCCCGCGGCCCGGTCTGTGACCAGGCCTCCTTAGGTCAGTGTCCCAGGATGCGACCCACACCAGTCGACTAACACCCAGGTACCCATTTTACTGATGGGGAACATAGACAACAGGTGGAAAGAAACACGTCCAATGTTTCTACTCTGGCTGGGAATCGAACCCAGGCCCTCACCGTGTGAAGCGAGAGCGTTAACCACCAGGCCACCTGAAAGGACAACTTTCAGATTCAGTGACATCTGTACAGATCTAGCTCCTGGGACCCTGACCTAGATACAATAAGATTGTGGGTAGTCTGGCGATCCTGTTAGTTAGTTAAATATATTTATTATTCACATCACACCCAACCCGTGAGTGACAGTCAAGACTAAACAGGTACATAATGGGTCTAGGGACGGCACAAAAGTTTTGCTAATGAACAAGTTAAAGTGTCAATTAACTATTTTAATTTTTATATCTGGTTATAATAGTAAAGAGTTATTTATGCAGGCATTAAGCTACAAAAATATTATATATATTTTTTTTTTTTTTTTACCATTTACTTTAGCAAGGTTCCTTGATGTTGGTGAGGGGCTCTTGATTTAGGGAATTGGATCTGTGCTCCAGTTCCCCGAATTAAGCCTGAATGCCTTCCACATATCCCCCCCCCCCAGGCGCTGTATAATCCTCCGGGTTTAGCGCTTCCCCCTTGATTATAATAATAATACTTTAGCAAGGTAAGCCTGTAGAAAATGTGGCAATGTATTGTCTACAGTGAGCAAAGTCAGGATATTTTTCCAGGATGGTTGATAACATAACACTGTGGATAATATACCATCATATTTGATGAACATTTTTGGATGAGTTATCTCTGAATTCATTAATTTGGTCAACATTATCTGGTGGTGGTGATTTAACCTGCCAGAGATAAATATAGTCCAGCAGGAGCAAGAAAGTCGTGACATCCAGGTGTCTGCTTATTTTGTTGGATGCACCATAGACATGTAGCTCTGGTTTGACTGGTGCACCATAGACATGTAGCTCTGGTTTGACTGGTGCACCATAGACATGTAGCTCTGGTTTGACTGGTGCACCATAGGCATGTAGCTCTGGTTTGACTGGTGCACCATAGACATGTAGCTCTGGTTTGACTGGTGCACCATAGACATGTAGCTCTGGTTTGACTGGTGCACCATAGGCATGTAGCTCTGGTTTGACTGGTGGACCATAGACATGTAGCTCTGGTTTGACTGGTGCACCATAGACATGTAGCTCAGGTTTGACTGGTGCACCATAGACATGTAGCTCTGGTTTGACTGGTGCACCATAGACATGTAGCTCTGGTTTGACTGGTGCACCATAGACATGTAGCTCTGGTTTGACTGGTGCACCATAGACATGTAGCTCTGGTTTGACTGGTGCACCATAGACATGTAGCTCTGGTTTGACTGGTGCACCATAGACATGTAGCTCTGGTTTGACTGGTGCACCATAGACATGTAGCTCTGGTTTGACTGGTGCACCATAGACATGTAGCTCTGGTTTGACTGGTGCACCATAGACATGTAGCTCTGGTTTGACTGGTGCACCATAGGCATGTAGCTCTGGTTTGATTGGTGGACCATAGACATGTAGCTCTGGTTTGACTGGTGCACCATAGACATGTAGCTCTGGTTTGACTGGTGCACCATAGGCATGTAGCTCTGGTTTGACTGGTGCACCATAGACATGTAGCTCTGGTTTGACTGGTGCACCATAGACATGTAGCTCTGGTTTGACTGGTGCACCATAGGCATGTAGCTCTGGTTTGACTGGTGCACCATAGGCATGTAGCTCTGGTTTGACTGGTGCACCATAGACATGTAGCTCTGGTTTGACTGGTGCACCACAGGCATGTAGCTCTGGTTTGACTGGTGCACCATAGACATGTAGCTCTGGTTTGGCTGGTGCACCATAGACATGTAGCTCTGGTTTGACTGGTGCACCATAGACATGTAGCTCTGGTTTGACTGGTGCACCATAGACATGTAGCTCTGGTTTGGCTGGTGCACCATAGACATGTAGCTCTGGTTTGACTGGTGGACCATAGACATGTAGCTCTGGTTTGACTCGTGCACCATAGACATGTAGCTCTGGTTTGGCTGGTGCACCATAGACATGTAGCTCTGGTTTGACTGGTGCACCATAGACATGTAGCTCTGGTTTGACTGGTGCACCATAGACATGTAGCTCTGGTTTGGCTGGTGCACCATAGACATGTAGCTCTGGTTTGACTGGTGGACCATAGACATGTAGCTCTGGTTTGACTGGTGCACCATAGACATGTAGCTCTGGTTTGACTGGTGCACCATAGACATGTAGCTCTGGTTTGGCTGGTGCACCATAGACATGTAGCTCTGGTTTGACTGGTGCACCATAGACATGTAGCTCTGGTTTTGGCTGGTGCACCATAGACATGTAGCTCTGGTTTGACTGGTGGACCATAGACATGTAGCTCTGGTTTGACTGGTGCACCATAGA